GCGCCGACATGCGGAGGAGTGGAATGAAACTGCTCAGCGACCAGACCAAATTCTCCACTACTCACTCACAGCGGTGGCCAAAGACACCATTATGATGTTGCGGATGACAGGACGGAGAGGAGCTAAAGGGTCACCCCAGGCTCACAGAGAACCGACGGAGGATGTGTTTTGGAAGGCCTTGGCTTCGCTACCGTCCCAATGTGTTCCAACCGTAAAGCGATCTAAAACGACCCGAAATCCCTGTTCAAAATTCATCCCGCGCTTCCATAGGCTAGGGGGATAAGACTACTTGGCTCCACCCTCTGCGAGATAAGCTTGCTAGACTGCCCCACGCGCTCTGTGATTGGTGAATTGCAGCTTGCTTCAGATAATTCTTTTTACAGCACCCTTTTCGGCCAGCTCGCCGGTAGCCTCTGCACCCGCGGCACCTTGAACAAAAGCGATGCCCAAGACGGACGGCCGGCCTTCCTATACTGTATTTTGATGCATATGAGCTCGTTTATGGGGGGCCGGTTGTGATGTGCCTTTCTCCAGCTGGAGGTCCGTTTTGCCGGCCCTACTCAGGGGAAAAACTCATCTCTGAAGCCCCATGCCATCGGATTGCGCAGGTCGACTGCCATGGACGGACGAGAATCCAAGACGCCATATCCCAGGGGATTCCGAGACCCTGACTTGGGGAGACTGCCTGGCGCCACGCCGTTCGCAAAATTTCATTCGACATGAGCCAACACCCTAATTTCACGACGTCAGGACGCCGAAATATCCTACTTGTATAGTGCCTAATCGTGAGGTATGACAGGGCTGTTGTGGGTTAGGTAACTGTCTGTTCTGTCTTCCCCTGCACCGGGTAACTTGTGGGATCGCCCCGGGTGATCGCAACTCAGCCGCCGACGAAGGGCTGCCCGCACCGGGGACCGCCGGGAGCATGGCTCGCTGCCCAGTATACCATCTTGGGACCCGTGTGACCAATGAGGCTGGATTCTCACCTCGAATGATGCCGGCTGACGGGGTCGCGTCTCCAGAAACTTTCTCCGTCCGGGAAGGATTGACGTCTGGCAGGCGACATCGGCCTCGATGTCTTTGAAAATGACAGGCTTTGATTGGTTTGTGGACAATGGAAGTTGACGCAACGCAGTCGGGGGCAGCAGGGATCCTAGCGTGCAGTGGGGCCTCATCGCATGCATGCGCAGTAACCCATGCTGTGGATCTTACACGCCTACCCGTCCTGGAAATGCAAGATGCAGGCTTCGGTGTGGGGTGCAGTTGTGAACAAGCTGTTTCGCCTGTTGTTTCAATGGCGAATAACTTTTACACACGGTATTTTTGTGCTACTCTGGGTATGTCTCAATCCCGTTTCTCTCTGGAGCCAATGGAGGGCTTGGGGAATTGCTGGGAGCTGGGAAAGTCTCCCGACAAGGCAAACTTCCGCCAAATGGTGAGCGCTGAGAACCGTCGTACAAGATACTACACGGGTAATTGGCAAGCTGAGTTGAAAGATCCTCTAAACCTTGAGGCTTTCAGGAAAAGCACGAATGTTGAATGCTTTGGAGACAGATGATTGGCGTATTCGTACTTTTCCCCCTTCCACGTTGTTTCGGGAGAGTGCTCCACTGCTGTAATGTCAGGTCCGGTACTTGTACCGTATGGTAACCGTAAGTAATTTGTAAAGCCGGTTCTCAGCGAAGCTTCCTCATCCCCCCAAATTCCGCCTATGGGGATGGCATAAACACCCGCTCACAGATGCTTTTCCAACAAACGCAAAAATCAGAAGACTGCTGTAGAATAGGTAGGCAATCTGAAACCGGAAGCTAGAGTCTTTGTTGGATTTGTTGGAGAGGTGGCTGAGATTGGCCATTCGTAGAAGTGCAGGCGTCATCTGCTTATCACGGTAAGGCCCCCAGTGTTGATTAGCACTGCGGGGAGTAGGCATGATTGACTCAGTTGGCAAACTCGAGAGAGCGGCAAGCCAGCTGACCAACACCCTGAACTCGTCCCTAGGCACCCACTATAAACTGAGCGATCAATGGAGTGTAAAGACTTTTCAGGGGAATTGTCTGATAGTTGGGATGATTGTTTGGATGCTGTAGTGCTGTTAGAGGCGTCAAACAACGGTGTGCCAGAGCGCAATGGCCTGACGGCCGAGCAGAAAATGTGTGTTCTGTAACGATGCAATACAGAACTGTATGAACACTACCGAAGCCCTGGACTCCACCAAAGGGGGGTGGCGCCAAGTCTGTGTGCAGGGAAGGGCCTAAGCCGGGAGGAAACTCCACCAACACACCCCCCACTTGCATCCCAGAGTGACGTGCCAGGTCAGGACAGAGGTCGCGCTCCCCCAGCACCGTGGACATGTCAGTTGCCCAGCGGGCAGGCAGTCACACACACCAGCACAGTCGCAGGCCACAGGCCGCAGTAGGAGCAGTGCTTCATACGACTCTTCCCTGCAGCTAACTATGTTCTGCTCCGCTCCGGTCTCCTCAGACCAAACACCCTGAACCCCGCAACGGGCAATTGACCAACGAGACATCGCAGAATTCGCAAACGGAAAGTCGTCTGGCTCCCGGATCATTGGAAGGAAGTCCTTGAAGAGCCTGCATGATTGCTTGCTCGTTTCATCCCACATTGCATGCCCATGCCCATGGCCATCCATAGTCCCATACCTGGACCTTAGCCCATACCCATCGACCCATCCAGTGACTCCCGGACTCGTTGATAAAAGGGCATCCATTGCCACTCCTCCCCAGCTGTGCTCTCCTCCCTTCTTCTTTTTCCCACCTTCACGACTTCGCGATTCGAACCTCCCCCCTCCACGTCTGTCTCAGCGGCCCAACCAGCGTGCAAGCAACTTTTGTTGAGCATTGCACTCCAGAGAAACTGGTAAGTGTGCTCATCACCCATCCCGTCGTTCTGCCCATGCAGCCTCATCCCACGTCCCACTCCTCGTATATTGCCAGTGCAATGCCAGCGCCGCCAGCAGTGGCCGCCACAAGACGGGGGGAGGAAGAAGTGAAGACGAGACAAGACCACGGAGTAAAACAAAACAAAACAAAACAAAACAATAAGGAAATTGCAGCTACATCTTTGGACCTGGAATTTTCTGCGCAAATCAGCCTCTCTTGCGAGCCATGCCTCAGTCCGCCACCGACCTGGAGCACCCGAGCAAAATGGAGCGCTCTCGCCAGTTCCTGCTACCCACTATCCACCCAGCTACCCGGGCAACCCAGAATCCACCAGCAATGTGTCCCGCACCCCACCATGAGCATTTGCAAGGCCATGAGGTCCCAGCGACGAAGAAACAGGCCAGAGATAGCGAGCTGGAGCATTTGCCTCAATGAGGCTCGACTGTTGCAGCACATGACACACTTCCTCTCACACAACAAAAGACATTTGGAGAGATGCATACGGCCGTTCTGGGGAGCAAGCCGAGACGGGAAACCCGCGCGCCAAGGTTCACAGGCTGCCAGACTGCTGGATTACTTGCCTACAAACGTACCAGGCTTGTTTTTCACATGTTTGGCCGTCTTGCTGCGTTTGGGTTGGGGTTGCAGGTTCAAGGTTACATCCGCGGAGAGTGGGGGCCACCCCCTTGCCTACCCCTCCCCTGCCCTACCTTGCCCCGCTTGCCCGCAGGGCCTGTCCCCTCACCCGTCCACTGCTTCCACTGCTCACTCACACCCTCGGCCACATCCATGTGCGCCTGCACTCCGCCGCCCCCCCCCCCCCCCTCCCCCCCTGCTCCGGGCGTCGGCATCCCCGCGACGCCACGATACGGCGATGTGGGAATCAGCACCAGCTCGACTGCCCACTCCCAACATCCACCAAGTCCGGTGTCGGATACTATCTGGTCTTGGCTGGACGGTCAACTGGGACGGTCCAAGTGCGCCCTGGCTGTTGACATTCTTTTTCGCGTGTCGGAAATCTCTCGGTCTCGTTCGCCGTCACCGTCGCTATCGTCATCGCCACTGACTGTCGCTGCGGCAATTCCCAGCCGTGTTCTGTGATAGATGTGGGTGGGGGTGGGGAGGGGCTGATAAGGAAGGGCACGGTGGTTGACTGAGCTTGTCGTCATCATCCCCCGCCGCGTTCGTCTTGGGCGGAATGGAGGGCCCAAGCTCTGTCTTGGTTGGCTGCGAACAGCTGCCATTGCATCACGGCACACCCCAAAATCCCCACAGGACTACATCCGTATCTCTCTTTCAGTTTAATCTGTTTGGTGCGGGCCTATCGCCCAGATGCACTACCGGTTCGGCAACGGGATTCTAGGTTGTCCAACAGCACAACTGGACTGCAACGCTGCTGCTCTGCTGTTTGCTGGGACGAAGCTCAGGCATACAGCCATTGACTCATTCCCATAGGTCAATGCCATTGTCGGGGCAGCAGTCGATCCTTCCAGCCCTCCCCCCGGGAGGGGGGAGGGAAGGGGGGAGGGGCGCGAGTCTGCGGGTGCTTCAGTGGCTGCTTCAGTGGCCCAGTCCGACCGGAGAATGGGCAGAATTCCATTTGATATCGGCCCTTGCTGGCTTGCTGGCTGGCTGGCTGGCTGGATGGCTGTTTGCCCACTTGCCAGGTTCTGCTCGAGTCACCGCTCCAAACCGTTCCGGTCCTATCCTGACGGTCTGACGCAGGCCGAAGTGTGTTCATGGCACACGGGTATTGCTGCAAGAGAAAGATGCCCATGCTAATTTATGGGCAACGGGACTCGCCTATACGCACCCTGTATTGGACCATCGGCTATCACTTGACCCGGCTGGTTTGCTTCACTCGGTCGCTTCTCGTCCTCGGTCTTTGCCTCTCCAGTCTCCCAACACATTCAATATTCATCACATCTATCTCACTCTGCTTTGTCTCTTCCAACAGCTAACCAGACTAGTAGCATTTAGCCATTCAGTCTCCCCCAGCGCTGTGCGTTGACTGCCCACTCATCCGTGGGCGACGCAGCGACCTGTATCTGATCTGAGCGCCTTAGCGATAGACACGTGTGGGCGACTCAAGCAAATAGAATGGCCGTAAAGGTGCCCCAAGATTTCGACGACTCAAGCATTGCTCTGGAAGCCGATTCCCAAACATGGCATCCATATGAGTACCAGACCGAGAATAACAATTCTTGGGCAGGTGCCCTACCTGTGAAACAGTATGTTGCTGTCGCCCAGCCCACTTCGGCTTCCATCGGTTTGGTCAAAAAAGTGCACATAGCTGACCTAACACCAATCAGGGGTCTGTACGACCCATCGCTGGAGAAGGATGCTTGCGGTGTAGGCTTTGCCTGGTAAGTTGAACCCGAGTCGCTAGCCTCGACTGCGCGAGCTCGGGCATCTGGGCTAACGCGTTCTGAAGCCACATCAAGGGCAAGGCGAGCCATAAGATTGTCAGTGATGGTGAGTGCAGATGACACCACGCACACAAGAGGTTCGGGGACGGATCTGACATGTCCTGCTGCAGCGCGGAACCTTCTGTGCAACATGACCCATCGCGGTGCGGTGGGCTCCGACGCTCGAGACGGTGATGGTGCGGGTGTGATGACCTCAATCCCCCACAAGTTCTTCATCAAGAACTTCGAGAGGGAAGAAGGCATCAAGCTGCCCCCGATGGGGCAGTACGCAGTGGGCAACCTGTTCTTTAAGCCCGACGAAGAGACGCTGCAGGAGTCCAAGCGGCAATTGGAAGATATTGCCGAGTCCTTGGGCCTCCGGGTGCTAGGCTGGCGGAAGCCCCCCGTCGACTCTTCGCTCCTGGGTCCTGCTGCTGCCTCGCGCGAACCCGTCATCCTGCAGCCCTTTGTCGTGCTGCGGGCTGCATACGGCGACGGCAACGAGCCCGAGCTGACCGACCCTGAGCAGTTTGACTTCAAGCTGTTCGAGCGTCAGCTCTATGTGCTCCGGAAGAGAGCCACTCACACCATCGGCATCCAGAACTGGTTCTATATCTGCTCTTTGTCGAACAAGAATATCGTGTACAAAGGGCAATTAGCGCCGGTTCAGGTTTACCAGTACTATCATGATCTGGTGAACGCTGATTACGAGGCGCACTTTGCCCTTGTGCACTCGCGCTTTTCCACCAACACCTTCCCCTCGTGGGATCGCGCGCAGCCTCTGCGTTGGGCAGCCCACAATGGTAAGCCACTCCCCCGACTGGCCGATCACACAACGACAACGCGGCTCCTTTGCCCCATCCATAACTGACTGGGTGACTAACCTCCTCGGACAGGTGAGATCAACACCCTGCGCGGCAACAAGAACTGGATGCGTGCCCGCGAAGGTGTCATGCAGTCCGACATCTTTGGCGACGAGCTGGAGATGCTGTACCCCATCGTCGAGGATGGCGGTTCCGACTCGGCTGCCTTCGACAACGTCCTGGAACTGCTCACCATCAACGGTGTCCTGTCTCTCCCCGAGGCCGTCATGCTGATGGTCCCCGAGGCATGGCAAGGAAACAACCTGATGGATCCCAAGAAAGCCGCTTTCTATGAGTGGGCTGCTTGCCAGATGGAGCCGTGGGATGGTCCAGCCCTGTTCACCTTTGCCGATGGCCGCTTCTGCGGTGCCAACCTGGACCGCAACGGCCTCCGTCCTTGCCGTTTCTATGTTATGGACGACGACCGCATCATCTGCGCCTCGGAGGTCGGCACCATCCCGGTTGACCCTGAGAGGATCGTGCAGAAGGGTCGTCTGCAGCCTGGCCGCATGCTCCTCGTCGACACACAGGCTGGTCGCATCATCGACGACAGCGAGCTCAAGGCCACTGTCGCGAGCCGGTTCGACTTCAGGAAGTGGCTGGACGAGAACCTCATCTCCCTTCCTAAGGTCCTAGAGGAGGTATCCCAAAATCCGGAGCTCGACATCAAGGCGAAGCCCGATGATTACAAGGTCCAGGAGGATCCGCTGCTGCTGGCTTTCGGCTACACCTTTGAGCAGGTCACACTGCTGCTCGCCCCCATGGCTCAGGACGAGAAGGAGGCCCTTGGTTCCATGGGTAACGACGCTCCCCTGGCCTGCCTGTCGGATGCGCCCAAGTTGCTGTACGAATACTTCCGTCAGCTCTTCGCGCAGGTCACAAACCCTCCTATCGACCCCATCCGCGAGTCAATTGTCATGTCTCTGGAGTGCTACGTCGGTCCCCAGGGCAACCTGTTGGAGATGGATCCGTCCCAGTGTGGTCGCCTGCACCTCCCGAGCCCTATCTTGTCGATCGAAGAGTTTAACGCGCTCAAGAATATGTCGACCATCTACCCCGAGTGGACGGTCAAGACTATCGACCTCACCTTCCCCAAGAGCGAGGGCATCGAGGGCTACATCCGGCACCTGGACTACATCTGCAACGAGGCGACGGCTGCCATCGAGGCGCGCGACCGCATCATTGTGCTGTCCGACCGCAACACCAGCAAGGACCGTGTCGCCGTCTCGACTCTGCTGGCCGCGGGCATGGTTCACCACCACCTCGTCGCTAACAAGTGGCGTGCCATGGCTGCGCTGGTCGTCGAGACGGCCGAGGCCCGCGAGGTGCATCACATGTGCGTCCTGCTTGGCTATGGTGTCGATGCCATCAACCCCTATCTCGCGATGGAGTGCATCCTCAAACTCAACCGCGAGAAGCTCATCAAGAAGAAGCTATCGGATGAGACGCTCATCTACAACTACAAGCGGTCTTGCGACGGCGGTATTCTGAAGGTCATGAGCAAGATGGGCATCTCGACCCTGGCCAGCTACAAGGGTGCTCAGATTTTCGAGGCTCTAGGTATTGACGACAGCGTCGTGGAGCGCTGCTTCCGCGGCACCGCCTCGCGCATCAAGGGCGTTACCTTCGAGCTGATTGCCGAGGATGCATTCCGCTTCCACGAGCGCGGCTTCCCCTCACGTGAGACCATCAACCCCATTGGCCTCCCCGAGTCGGGCGAGTACCACTGGCGCGACGGCGGTGAGGCGCACGTCAACGACCCCGTGTCGATCGCCAACCTCCAGGATGCCGTGCGGCAGAAGAACGACAAGTCGTACGAGGCCTACTCGCGCTCGGAGTACGAGCAGATTAAAAACTGCACGCTCCGTGGCCTGCTCGACTTCAAATTCGAAGAGTGCACTCCCATCCCGATTGAGCAGGTCGAGCCGTGGACCGAGATCGTCCGCCGCTTCTGCACGGGTGCCATGTCGTACGGCTCCATCTCCATGGAGTCTCACTCGACGCTGGCCATTGCCATGAACCGTCTCGGCGGCAAGTCCAACACCGGCGAAGGTGGCGAGGACCCGGAGCGCTCGCAGCGCCTGCCCAACGGCGACACCATGCGCTCGGCCATCAAGCAGGTCGCCTCGGGCCGCTTCGGCGTCACGTCGGCCTATCTGGCCGACTCGGACGAGCTCCAGATCAAGATGGCCCAGGGCGCCAAGCCTGGCGAGGGTGGTGAGCTCCCCGGCCACAAGGTGTCCAAGTCGATCGCCCGTACTCGTCACTCGACCCCTGGTGTCGGCCTGATCTCTCCCCCGCCGCACCACGACATCTACTCGATCGAGGACCTGAAGCAGCTCATCTACGACCTCAAGTGCTCGAGTCCTCGGTCGCGTGTCTCGGTCAAGCTGGTGTCGGAGACGGGTGTCGGTATCGTTGCTGCCGGTGTGGCCAAGGCCAAGGCCGACCACATCCTCATCTCGGGCCACGACGGCGGTACGGGTGCCTCGCGCTGGACGGGTATCAAGTACGCCGGTCTCCCGTGGGAGCTTGGTCTTGCTGAGACGCATCAGACGCTCGTGCTCAACGACTTGCGTGGCCGTGTCGTCGTCCAGACCGATGGCCAGCTTCGCACGGGTCGCGATGTTGCCATCGCCTGTCTGCTCGGCGCGGAGGAATGGGGCTTCGCGACGACGCCGCTCATTGCCATGGGCTGCATCATGATGCGCAAGTGCCACCTCAACACTTGCCCCGTCGGCATCGCCACCCAGGATCCTGAGCTTCGCAAGAAGTTCCAGGGCACTCCCGAGCACGTCATCAACTTTTTCTACTATGTGGCCAACGAGCTCCGTGCCATCATGGCTAAGCTCGGCTTCCGCACGGTCAACGAGATGGTCGGTCGCGTCGAGATGCTCAAGGTCCGCGATGACCTGCGCACGAAGAAGACGCAGAACATTGATCTGTCGCTCATCCTTACCCCCGCCCACAAGCTACGCCCAGGCGTGGCCACCTTCAACGTGCGCAAGCAGGACCACCGCCTCTACGTCCGCCTCGACAACAAGCTCATCTCCGAGGCAGAGCTCACGCTCGACAAGGGTCTGCCGTCCCGCATCGAGTGCGATATTGTTAACACCGACCGTGCCCTGGGCACCTCGCTCTCGTACCAGATCTCGAAGCGGTACGGCGAGAAGGGCCTGCCGCCGGACACCGTCCACGTCAACATCAAGGGCTCTGCCGGTCAGTCCTTCGGTGCCTTCCTGGCCCCTGGTATCACCCTGGAGCTGGAAGGTGATGCCAACGACTACGTCGGCAAGGGCCTGTCTGGTGGTCGTATCATTATCTACCCGCCGCGCTCGGCTACCTTCAAGGCCGAAGAGAACATCCTCATCGGCAACGTCTGCTTGTACGGCGCCACGAGCGGTACCTGCTTCTTCCGTGGTGTCGCCGCCGAGCGCTTCGCCGTGCGCAACTCGGGCGCCACAGCCGTCGTCGAGGGCGTCGGCGATCACGGTTGCGAGTACATGACGGGCGGTCGTGTCGTCGTCCTCGGCAGCACGGGTCGCAACTTCGCAGCCGGCATGTCTGGTGGTATCGCCTATGTACTCGACGTCGACGGCGACTTCCTCTCCAAGCTGAACTCGGAGATGGTCGAGGCCGGTCCGCTGGAGGATCCTGAGGAAATCGCATTTGTCCGTGGCCTTATCGAGGATCACCACCATTACACGGGCTCCGAGCTGGCCGCTCGGATCCTCGTTGACTTCAACCGCGCGCTGCGTCGCTTCATCAAGGTCCTGCCCATCGACTACAAGCGCGTCCTCCAGGAAGAGGCAGCCAAGAAAGCTGAGGCTAACAAGCTCCCTGCCCCGGCCCCGGCTCCGGCTCCTGCAAAGGAGGAGAAGAAGGAGAAGGGCGGCAAGCTCCTGGATCTCGAGGACAGCGTGACCGATGGTGCTGCCGAAAAGAAGAAGGCGCTCGTCTTGGACAAGACGCGCGGTTTCATGAAGTACCATCGCCGGTCGGAGAAATACCGCAATCCCAAGACGCGCATCAAGGACTGGGCCGAGCTTTCGTCGCGTCTGGACGAGGATGAGCTCAAGTATCAGTCGGCCCGCTGCATGGACTGCGGTGTTCCCTTCTGCCAGTCGGAGACGGGCTGCCCGATCTCCAACATCATCCCCAAGTGGAACGAGTTGGTCTTTCAGAATCAGTGGCGCGACGCTCTCAACCGACTGCTGATGACTAACAACTTCCCCGAGTTCACGGGTCGTGTATGCCCTGCTCCTTGCGAGGGTGCCTGCGTGCTCGGCATCAACGAGGATCCGGTCGGCATCAAGTCGATCGAGTGCGCCATCATCGACAAGGGTTTCGAGATGGGCTGGATCAAGCCCAACCCGCCCAAGGTTCGCACGGGCAAGAAGATTGCCATCATCGGCTCCGGTCCTGCCGGTCTCGCGGCCGCCGACCAGCTCAACAAGTCGGGCCACACGGTGACTGTGTACGAGCGGGCCGACCGCCTCGGTGGTCTGCTCATGTATGGCATCCCCAACATGAAGCTGGACAAGCGCATTGTCAAGCGGCGTACCGACCTGATGGAGGCCGAGGGTGTCATCTTCAAGACTGGCGTCACGATCGGCGAGGACATCACGCTCAAGGACCTCAAGGCCGAGAACGACGCGGTCATCATTGCCACGGGCGCCACGGTCGCGCGCGACCTGCCCATCAAGGGCCGCAACCTGCAGGGTATCCATTTCGCCATGGAGTTCCTGCACAAGAACACCAAGTCGCTGCTCGACTCGGAGCTCGCCGACGGCGCCTACATCTCGGCCAAGGACAAGCACGTCGTGGTCATCGGCGGTGGTGACACGGGCAATGACTGCATTGGCACGGCGATGCGGCACGGGGCCAAGTCTGTGGTCAACTTCGAGCTGCTGCCGCAGCCGCCGCCGCAGCGTGCTCGCGACAACCCGTGGCCGCAGTGGCCGCGCATCTACCGCGTGGACTACGGCCACACGGAGGTTATACAGCACACGGGCAAGGACCCACGCGAGTACTGCATCATGTCGGAAGAGTTTGTTGACGACGGCAACGGCCACGTCAAGGGCATCAACACGGTGCGCGTCGAGTGGACACGGTCAGCCTCGGGCGGTTGGGATATGAAGAAGATCGAGGGCTCGCAGCAGTTCTTCCCCGCCGACCTCGTCCTGCTGTCCATGGGCTTCCTCGGCCCCGAGCAGCGTGTGCTCGGCGACGAGATCGAGAAGGACGCTCGCAAGAACGTCAAGACTCCTCCCGGCAAGTACTGCACCAACGTGCCTGGTATCTTCGCCGCTGGTGACTGCCGCCGTGGACAGTCGCTCATTGTCTGGGGCATCAACGAAGGTCGTCAATGCGCTCGCGAGGTCGATCTATACCTCATGGGCTGCACTAACCTGCCTGTCACGGGTGGTATTGTTAAGCGCTCGGCTGAGGAGGTGTTCACGGCGCAGAAGATGGCTGTTGAGGCTGCTGCTGCTGCTGCTGCTGCTTAAGAAGACGATGGGACGATGGGGATGACGGATTCCGGGTGACGAGAGGGGGAAGGGTATTAGTTAAGATTTGTAGAAAGACATGGTTATCTAAAGGATTTTGGTACATCGCACGATGTTTTTTTTATACTTATATGGGACTGGCATAGCTGGCATGAGGAAGAGAGGCTGGGTCATTCTCAGCGGTTGGATCATTTTTTGGGGGGGGGGGGTGCTTCTTTTGTTTTGTTTTTTTTTTTTTTTTTTTCGTTTTTTGCTTTGATGTTTTAAAGTGTGGCATGGAGCGGAAGGGACCCAAGGAGGAGAGAGGATTTCAGTTGCATCGCGACAATGTATCTCATCACCACATGACGTCTTGTTCACGTTCACGTACTTAGGTAGTTAAGCTCTTGGTAGCAAATGGCTGTTTGCATTTAGTAGTTATATTGTACACAACAGTAGTATTCCAGTGATATTGACGAGTATGATTGTTCGATCCCGGCTCTCATTTGTCGCTGGCCAAAAAGAAGCACGTGGTCGGTTTATTGGTCAATGGCAGCGGTAAGAGCGGTACTGCCAAGGCTGGTTTGCATGGTGTTATGATACATTTAAAGTTCAGTAATCTGAAAATATTCATATCGAGAAAGCTTGTCAATAAAACTCCTCTTCAATCTATTTCTGGGTAAGAAGCTTACTTTTGAGAATATTTTTCAAGAAATAGTACTGGTGACGAGCTGTCTTGTGCAGTCCTTATAAGCTAGCGGTGGTATAGGGTGTAGGTAGTGGGTAGGTAGGTAGATAAGCAGGAAGGTATTGGAAGTCCTCTGCTAACTTGAGATCAAGGGTTAGGGTGTACTGTGGGGAAAAGCCTAGAGAACGTGTGTTGGTTATGACGACAGGCGTTGGCGGTGGCCGTGAACAAGAGCTTGTATTCTTTCCTCCTCCTCC